CATACTTTACGTTACATGGTATATAACTTACATTTTAAAAATAGGTATATATCCCTAATCCTAATCGGGACCGGACTGTAACAGACTGGGGTCCAAATAATTTTCGGTCCTCAGCCCCTAATAGACTGGTCCTGCTTCAAACAGTGGTCTTAGCTGATAAAAAAGAATTAATAAAAAGAAAACTGGAATTTTTTTTTATTCTTTTTAATAATGAGCGATAATAGAAATTTTTTACATTTTTCAATATTTCTCAAATTCTTCTAATTAACGAGGTTCTTATTTCTAATGAAATAAGCATTGACGTCTCAACTTCTAGTGATAAGATTGCTGAAACTCCAATATTTAATAATAAAAAAAAAAAAACAAATATAATACATCTACGGTATAACAAATGAATCGCCAAGTAATTTACGACATGGACTAGAGAAATGTTTATTATTGCCATTGGCAAGGATAAAAATATTATTTCAATCAAAAAAAAATAGATCATCAGATGATGAATCTACAAGGGCAATTCTGTGCCTCAAAAATTGGCTTCAAAAAGGAATTTGCTATTTGTACAGTAGCATTAAATTAGCCATATTAAATTAGCTTCGTATAAAAAAAAAAGTACATTTTACAATGAACACCTAACATATCTGCACAATTGTAAAAATTTGATCACCAATAATTCTAGTAGTTCCAAAATGGAATGCATGTTTTGAAACTTAAATTGATTAAAAAAAAATTCTTAGCGTAAGACGATTTAGGACCGAAATAAGGACAGATCAAACCAATTAATACTATTAAATCGGTCATACAAAGACTAAGACCGACCAGAACGTACCGATCCATTACTAGTCTTATCGAAAGTCAAGTTTTACTTAAAGCTAAAAGCTAAAAATATTTAACATCTAAAATATTTATAATTAACATTGTATTAAATAATATAGCAGTAAATATATATATTAATTTTGTTAAATTGCTAAATACTGTAAGGTAAAAATTGATAAAATTATAGAGTACTTAAAACTATAAATGAGATTTGGGATCAAATTTATTTTTCATATGTTAAAGCCGGGTTTGATCAGTTTTAACATACAGTATTAAAAATAAAATTGGTTCAAATGCTAGTTGTAATAAATTGTTAAAAATTCTATTTTTGATAAGTCATAATAACTAGTCATATAATTAAGTGTTAATTAATTAGCACATATCATATTCGATATATAAAAGCTTAAATCACATAACCCACAATTTTGAAGTAGTTAATAAAATTATATAAAGCTAATTTTTATATATTAAATATGTTTTTTTGTATTGATTGGCTAATATAGTCATGTAACTAGTTATTCACTAGTAAAATTTAAAAAATCCGCCAGCACGATTCGAATGCCACTCAAACTGCCATTCGAACTACCATTCAACACTATTAAACTATTTCATAGCAGGGCAGAGCCAAAAATTTCTGCGTTCACGGAATTTTGCAGAAAAATCATGGAATTGGTTCAGATCATTTTTAAATCTTGGCATGGATTTAGGATCTAAAGTCATCATGATGCTAGGTGACATTAATTCGACCAGAATTTGTGAACTATAATGCTGGCCGACTTTACGTAATTCTGGCCAATCGCGGAATTTTTGCAGAATCTTTATCATGGACGGAATCAGCATTTGTCACTGCAGAAAACCATCGGCTCTGCATTAGGGATCCTCATTTTCTGCTGCGACAGTCCCCAAATTCTGCCTGCTTTACAATTGGTTTATACGAATTATGCGATAAATTTTTTGTAAATTATGCGAATCGGATAGAAATATGCGAAATATGCGATCACCAATTTACCATAATTTATAATTTTTATCTGAACCCATCAGATCAAACAGGATCAGTGTAACATAAAATTACAAAAAAAAATTATCAAAATTGCAGTATCTTATAAATTTTGTTTATAAAACCTTTTGTGTCATAACACTAGAGTTGGCATTGGACATATGTCCAATGATTTTGAAAATGAGGACATATAAAATTTTATATGTCCAATATATTTTTAAATTATTGAACATATGTCCAATGCCAACACTGCATAACACTGCTTTAACATTCGTATCATTATTTGATCGAATTGAAAGTTCAAAATCTGATGATATTTGTTTGTCCAAAGATTTCTTTGCGCCCAATAGGAACTGGGGAAATTAGTAAACTTTATATTACTCTATCTATATTTCCGGCCATTATATGCTCTATTATTATGCGAAATTCGTCCTGATATGCGAATATGCTATCGCATATGCTTCTGCGGTAAAATCAGATTTATGTGAAGATTAGATTAGGATTAGGGATATATACCTATTTTTAAAATGTAAGTTATATACCATGTAACGTAAAGTATGTAGATAATAGGCAAAATTTCGTTCTTAATAACCTTAAATTTATCCTGACCGGCATTAATACTAACCCACTTTAGGGGCATATGGGCTGATTTTTGCAATTTATGTAGATCGGACCCTAAAAATTGGTTTAATTCTGGTCAGATTTGCAGCCCTTGGGGATGAGTTACTCATCCTCAAGGGCCAAATGATCTGCAAATCTGACCAGAATTAACCCAATTTTTAGGGTCCGATCTACATAAATTGCAAAAATCAGCCCATATTCATGGATTATTAAATGATTTAAATGACGAAAGTCGAAAACAAAGACGACGGATAACCCAACTTGAGACTACTATTAACGAATAAGAATAAAATAGGCTCCAAATATGAATCAAGACTTTTGGGAAACATTATCAAAAGATATAAATCGAGGATTTATTGCAACAAATCGTCAAGATTTTATTCGTGCTTGCCAACAAAGAATACGAGCCCCAGTAATGGATGAAGACATAAATGAAATCGATACATTTACTTATATTAGAGAGAAGGATGATTATGCCTTTAATATAGAAGCTTTATATGGTAGTTCGTGTGAGGGAGAAGTCAGACAATTTGAAAGTATGATCAAACAAATTTATAAAAATCCAGAGGATAATGATGTATATAATAAAAATTTTACATTCCCTGAAGATTTAAGAAAAGCAATGGATAAACTTCCTGAATATGAATTCTATGAAGAGTACTATGGTTCATTAGTTGAAAATATAAAATTAACTGAAATAACATCAAATTCGGATCATATTACGTTTACCCCAAAATGGTTCTGGGCAAATCCACTTAACAAAAAAACGACAACACTGGATGAACCTTATACGGTTTTTATGGTATGCAGATTTATCTGAAGCACCTTTAGATAATAAAAATTATGATAAATTGCGTCAGTTAGGCTCATTAACTTCAGTTATCACCCAAAACAAACGAGTATATAGTCAAATTCGTATCTTCATCAAACATAGGTGGGATGTTTCATGCCTCGTTACAATGGACCATTCACATTACGCATCCAAGAAAAATTGTCGAACAATCATGAGTCATGATGACTATCAAAGTTCTGAAGAATGCTCTAAGACTTGCCTTCATGATCTAGACCCAACGAATCCAAGTCCATTGCACCAATACCTAGTTATGCAATTTAACCATATCTTCACTACAACTCAATCAAGTGGTGGATTCGATTTCTCTTACACACAATTGATTGACGAAGATAATGGATATATAATGTGCCCTGAATGTGGAATAATCACTATTTATGGTAAATCCGGACCTCATAATTGTGACAATAACATTCCTCAAACCTGTAAAAACGGGCATATAATAGTTACAGGAGATCATGAATATAGATGGGATGCTATATTATTAAGAAATGGGAAAAATTGGACATCTAAACGTCAAAAGTTACCTGAACACAATGCACTCTTTAAACAACAAAATCCTGATGCTACAATTGCCTGCCCTCTTAATTATGATATGCTACTTAAAGGTAGAATTATGCTTTTAACTATACCTTATGCACATGCTTCATTTTCTTGTTTACACAATTTAGATGTCTTTAAAAGGTATACTTTATATTTCTATGATAATCATGAAGAATGTATTATTAGTGTTAATGATGGTTATAATCACTTAATGTCCTATAAGAGGCTAGATGATGAGAACTAAGTAATTATTCTCTACACTCATTTCGTCCCTTCATTAACTTTAATGATGAATAATTCCAAAAAAAAAAAACTATTAACAGCCAGAGAATATGTCACACCTGTTTTATATAAGGTTTATTTTATAATAAAAACTATATTAAAAACATATAAATTTACTATAAACATTAAGCTCTGCATTTTTGTAGACCTACATATTAACTTATTTTCAAATTTTAGAGTTAAGCATATCGAAAATAGTATATTAGGCTACTCCAAATTGATTCTTTGTTTAACATAATATAAATATTTTTACAAGAGAGAGGGGATGAGAGTAAAAATAAACAACAACTCTAAAAAAGCAGCAATTCTATTGGCTGAACAAAATGTAAAAATTTTCAAATGCTAATACTGCAATTTGATTGGCTAAATAGTGTTTATTTTATGTCTAAAATTTTAAAAAATAGAGGGGGGGTTATGTTAAACATAGAATCAAATTGGTGTGGCCTTAAGATTATTTAGAACACTTTTTTAAAATTATATAAAAATTTTATATTTTATTATCACTGTTTTCGAAATAGTTGAAAATAACCAGCAAAAAAATTTTATGAATACTCGAATATTCAATTACATTAGCACAATAATAACAATTACTGTACGTATATAATTTGGAATCGATCTTTGATCAATATGATTATTGTGCCAATATAATGCAAGTATTCATAGTATTCACAAAAAAAATTTTTGTTGGTTATTTTTAATTATTTCGAAAATAGCAATTTTATAATCATGTAAATTTTTTATGCTGAACAAGTTTGCTTAGAAAATGAAAATGAGTTATAATAGTAAAAAAAATAAGTTAGCTATATACAATTTTTAAATTTTTAAAATTTTTATTTTAAATATATGCAATTTTTTTTTTTTACTATAGAAATTTTGTTTTTTCAAATCTTTTATTAGGTACAAATTTTAATTAAACTTTATATAAATTTTTATATAAAATTTAATTAAATTTTTTACTTAATGGTTGTCTATTTTCTATATTAAATTTAATACAAAATATTAAATTTAATACAGCTATAAAACTTAACTTTTTTTATTAACTTTAAATTAAATTTATATACAAATAATATAAAATGCACTTATGATATTGTTGGTGTTAATATATTTTTTTAGAGTTAGAGTGCAATTTTTTTATATATAATATAATGTATATTAGATACTATATAAGGTTTTAATTTTAGTTTTTATAAGGTTTTGGGGTTCTGAGCATTTTTACTTGGAATATTCAATCCTGTTTTCTTAGTATATTTTTGAGAAATAGGAACCTATAGTGTTGAACATATATAGTGCAGAATAGTAGGGTTGTTTATATAATATATAAAGACTTTTATTGAAATGCATCTATGATGTTTAACATATATATATATATACAGTATTATCTTAAAACTATCTAATTGACCAGTGCAAAATGTTCTAAATAAAAATGCTTTACATCACTAAAAACCCTTTCAAACTCTAATTCTAACTCTAAATACTAACACTAATATAAAAATTTTGTATTAAAAATTTTTAAATTCAAAACTTAGAAAAATATTAAAAATAGAAAATATATAATAGATACAAACTAGAGTTCTGCAATCTGAGCATGTGCTTGTGCTAAAAAATTTAAGCTCAGGCATAAATATAAATACTTAAAAAATTTAGACATAAATATAGACATGGCTATAAAATTCTAACATAGGTATAAATATAGACACAAATATTTGGCATAAGCATGGGCACAGATATAGAAATTTAATACTGTATTTATTATTTAATTGGATCAGATACTTGTGTTTAGCATTGTGTCTGACACCACTCTGGCATCTTGTGCTAATATGTCTAGTATTTTATACCCTTTTGTGTCTATAGATATAGGCATAACATAAAGTACTAGTACCTATCCTGATACAAATATGCTAGATACAGGTATTTGCAGAACTCTAGTATAATATATATATAAATATTTACTTGTATTTTATTTTAGTATATTTAAAAATTAGCTAATTTTAATAAAATTTATATTAGCAAGATTAAAAAATTTTTGAATATACTTTTTTAATACTAAAATTTTTTGATTTTAATAATAATAAAATTATATTTTTATTTTTTTTTTATAATTCTATTTTTAACTTTATTGAATATTTTAAAGACTAATACTACTTATATAAAAGTATAAAATTAAAAATTTAATTAGTAAATCATTTCTAAAAAAAACTAAAAATTAAAAATTTTATAATAAACAAAATCAGAAATTTATATATTTTTTTATAGTACAAAAATAGAGCTTATTTATATATAAAAATATTTTTTTTATTAAGTAATTTTTTTTTTTGCTTTAATAAAAGTTGCAGTGCTTATTTTTTAATTCTAATAGTAGTAAAATCATCAAAATTAGATTAATAAATTATATGTATTTTTTTTATTATTTACTATAGGATTTTTTCATAAAAATTAATGTATATAGTATTTTATTTACTATATTAGCTTTTTAGCTCTTGTAATATTTTGAAAAAATAAATTTATTAAAAATTATAGTAGCAATTTCCAGATATACAATATAATAATAATAAGGTTCTAAAAAAAAATAAACCTAATTTTAATTTTATTATATTATATATTTTATAAGTTTTTTATTATTTAAGTAGAGTAGTCTTATAAGACTGCTCTACTTATGTTATAATGATACCTACTTATGATTATAATACTACCTACTTATGGTTATAGTGCTGTCTACTTTGGTATTTTTAATGCTTTGTAGCCTTTTGAAGGTTGAATTAGTTAGTTTTTGATATTGGCCCTGTGTGCTGGTTTGAAGTCGGGTTGGTTGGTTTTTAATATCAGTCTTGTGGGCTGGTTTGGGGGTTGGCTTGGTTACTTTTTAGTATTAGCCTTGTGTGCCAGTTCAGATGCTGGCTTGGTTGTCGGTGTGTGAAAAAATTGAAACCTATGTTCTGGCCTGCATGATTTCTTTAAATACGAGCCAGAGTGTAGTCATATTTTCCTTTATCTGAGCAGTGGTATAAAAAAAAAGGTACCAGAGATGGGATGCTTTTTTGATTGTTGAGATGAGACACGAAGTGCTAATTCTGCAATCTATCTTCTGCTAATAATATGTTGAAATCTATTTGCCATCTCTTGTTTGCTAGTAAAACACATATAAAGTACCAATGTTGTGATATTCTTGCTATTTCGCCTTTTCTGCACCTGTTTGGCTGCCTTTCTAGATGCCGAAGTGGTGTAAAAAATATTACGTCGGGTGGTGCAGTAGATAATTTATGTGCATAAAAAGCATTCTCTTTCAAGTAAGTATAAAGACCTTTTACTCTAAAGAGGTTTAGCTGTTCCTATATTTTGTTTTTCTATTCAATAGGTTATTTGGGTTCCGGTTTGAGGCTTACTTTATTATTGAGGATGCGAGTCTTAATTCTTTCTTTTTTTATTGCAAAAAAAAAATCGTGTCAGATGGCCCATTTGTCTGCCGAGGTGAGGCAGCTGGTGTTGTGCCATCCTTGGCTAGTGCACCATCCTGCCTTTTATGACCTGTTTAATAGTACCAAATTGGTAACCCACTTGAGTATAACTTTTTTTTATTCTTTCCTATATATAATTCTGCTTGAGTGGGTTACCATCAATTCTTTCATTTTTAGCTTCCCGACTCTTTTGATCACTGAGATTAGTGGAACACCAAGTTATATTTTTTTTATTTCTTTTTCCTATATATTATTCTAACTTGGCGTCCCACCAAAATTTTACTATATTTTCACTCTAGTTTACCTTCTCGTATAGTTAATATTTTGGAATACTTTCATATCAATCTTTTTTGAATCTTATTTTACTGATTTATCAGAGATCTCTTTTAGGTACCTCTATCGATTACTTTTGGGTCCTACTATGTCGATTATTTTTGAATTCTACATATTGCTAACTAAGCATATTTGCTTTGAATCATATAATTTTTTATTTAAAGATTTGGGATTTTTTATGTAAATTTATATTAGTTTCTTCCATATACTAACATGCTTGTGCAAAAAAATACTGGGCCTGACCTCAGTGAAATAAATGAAGCAATTAGGCTCTTCTCTGGTTTAGCGGACCTTGATTTTGAGCCTGGTTATAATAATCATGTATACTTTTAATATATGTCTAATAGTAAAGATGATATCACTTTTCTAGATATCCATCATTCTGAAGAAATTTTTAATAAATATATTATTCAGGTTGCAGGTAAGAGATTCACAGTAGTAAATCACCTATCTGAAGTTTATGGTTACCTGATCCTCATGAATGCATTGACAGAAATTTGCCTCTTCGCCTAGTTCTGGATATCGATGCAAGACAAAAACCTGATTCTATGAATCCCAAACACCCTTCCTTAGATGAATATAAAATTTCTTGTAAAGATTTAAGAAGACTTATAATAATATTATTTATTTATTTTTTCTTGTGCAATAATACTAGCTAACTTCAATTTCTATATTCGATCTGGTCACGAGGTGACCTCTTCTGGTCTGGTCTTCTGATTTATCGATGCGAGACAGTACCTTTTTTTCTCATTTATATTCAAAAAAAAAGATTAGTGAATAAAATGCAAAATTATAATGAAATTGATACTAAAGCCTTAGCATATGCCCAAAGGCGGGAAGGAAGATGCTTAATAAAAGTTAATACTAATTCTAATACATATTTATGGGCATGTAAAAAGGGTCATTAATGGGAAGCATCATATAAAAATATGAAACAGAATTATCGATGGTGTAATATTTGCCCTAATGTACTAGAAAGAACATGCCGATATATATTTGAAGATTTATTGTATAAAAAATTTCTATTCTGAAAACCTAAGTTCTTGGAAGGGTTATATCTGGATGGATATAATGAAGAGTTAAGTTTGGCCTTCGAATATAGTGGTAATCAACATTACCAAATCGTGCCTTTTTTTCATCCGCAAGGACAGATAAATCTAGATGCACAAATTTGGTGTGACTAGAAAAAGAGGGCTCTATGTTATAGAGAAGAAGTAATCCTTATCACAATTCCCTATTGCGCCATTAATTTAGAAACTTTTATAAGAAGCGCCTTGTATGCATTCAGTTTCCTTCCAATAAGAACCATCTAGGAGGAAGCATAGACTCTTCCTTAATATGTATTAATTGTTCTCTCACAAAGGGACGTTGAAGTCCTGAATTATCTAAATAATATAAAACAGGCATCGGGGATTCTTTTCAACAACAATTCTTCGAATTTTATGGAGGCTAGGTGACCATATAGGATCTGTTATTTTACATCGCTCAAAAGGATCATTTTTCTACTCTCCGGGAGCAAGCAAAAATCGAACAGTAGTATTCTTTGGTAGTTGTGGTTCATCAATGCCTATTGGACGATTATATTTTACCAATAGCTTAGAATATATCCGTTCAAGTTTCATGGCATCATTAGGACTCAATCCAATTAATCAGGTTGGAGTATCATTCATATTGTTAACAATCTTTCATGCAAACTGTTCACATTCTCTACAGCGTTCACCGGTAGGTAAGAGAAACTCTATTGCATACTGGTTTTTAAAAACTCTTAATTCGAATAATCCGGCATAATGATCAACCAATGCCATGCTTGTGTGTCTAAAACATGCCTTAATTCTTCAGATATTAACATTATGTTCATCCATTATCAATGTCATGCTTCCTAAAACTTATGACCTTCATCACATTGCAATAGCCGAGGCCAGTTAAGAGGGTTGTCAGGGTTATCATATTTACTCTTAAATGCTTCCGCAACTTCTTCGCTACTTTTTGATATTAAAAAAATGAAATCTTTATACCTAGTCACACAGTTTATAACTAATAATACATAGTAAAATATTAGGTCATCATCTAGTGAATTTGTATCTACATCATATGGTATTTCGATCAGATCACACTGGTGTATGGTATTTGGCTTTGTGATTTTAAAGTAACTAGCATAAGGTATTTGTCTCGGTAAAGGCTGAAAAATTTGATACATTGCCTGACTATCAAGCCATTTTTTTATATCAGTAAATGAGAAGGTGTAACCAGTTTTATTACATGCATTTCATAATCCTTTTGCATTTTGGTAAAAGCCCTCAGGGCAATAATACAGCTTCTGTAAGGCAAGATATCAGTCTAGATCATGAGCTTTCTGAGAATCAATAAAAATTGTAGGTTTTTGTTTTGCAATAACCTGATCTAGCTCCCATGCTCTCTGAGGATCGATATAAATAACCGGTTCTCCCATACTGATTCTCTTTTATGGATTTAGCAATTTCTCAATCAATATAATAAATAAAAAAGCATGGAAGAATTACAACAGAGTAATCAAGAACTCTATAAGGTAGTATCCCAATTAGCAGAATCAAATAGAAATTTTGAACAATGATTATATACCTTAGAAAGAGTTATTGGTATATAGGAAAAAAGAATAAGATTTCTTGAAAAAGAGTTAAATAACATAATCGAAGTTTCTATAGAAGAGAAAGAGGAGTTAAAAAAAGAAATCTTAAAACTAAAAAGAATCGTTCACCAACTTGAGGAAGAAAATAAAAAGAAAGACAAGGAAATTTCAGATAAGGATAGATTAATATTAGAATTCGATAAGCGTGAAACAAAATTAAAAACCAGAATACGAGAAATATCTAAATTAGCTAGAAACATGCCTAAAGCACAAGATTATATAACAAGATTAGTAGATGAAAACAAATGGTTTAAACGAGAAATAAATACAATAATGACCAATTAAATAAATAGGATTAGCAAAATAAATCAGCAAAAAAATCATATTACAGACCTACTTTGTCAAAATTTTGCATTAATATTATTGAGGTATAGAGATAGGTTAGAACTTATAAATACTAGAGAGGCTTTACAAAATGCAGAAGCACAGAATTTTAATAAAAATAAATTTGACCCTGATGAAAATTCTTTAGATATTTATAATTTTGATCAAAATTTAGATATAGGTATGATAGCTAAATTGGCCAATGCCATAGACCGATCTCTAGAAGATACAATAATATATAGAACTATTTTAAAAAATTAAATTAAAAGATCAACAAGATCAATCTGACGTAAATACACTAACCTGCAACAAGAACTAGTGAATGAACGATGGAACCGTGATATATATAGGCAGGAGCGTAATCAAGCGATACAGGAGCGTGATCAGTTGCGGACTAATACTCAGAATCAAGTAAACAGAATGATAAATAATATAGCAAAAAAGCAAACCCGTATTGGTAAATTGCTGGGAGAAAAGCTAGCCCTTCAGCTAATATATCAAAGGTGCAAAGCTAAGGTTGACTTGGCAGAATTCAATCAAGCCTGGGTATTTAATCAGTATCAAAAATAGAAGGCTCAGGAAATTAATTCTCGCCAGAATAATTTAATTTTAAATCAACAAATTTTTGCGCTACAGAATAACCTACCTAATATACAACGAATAGAAATGGCAGAAATACCGCAACCATTTTTTGACTGGAGTGAAGATATACCAGATTTCCTTGCAAAACTTAGATTATACTTGCAAAACCAAGGAGTAAATCCAGCAGATAATGCGGGAGGTTCACCAACAGGAAGAGAAGTAGCTATAGGATATTTAAGAGGATGTATGAAAGGAAGAGCTTTAGAATGGTTTGATGAAGAGATTACTACAAAGAATTGGAAATTAGCAAACTTACTTGATAATACAGTGCAGGCTAACTTAGTAGCTATAAACAGGAGAACAGCAATTCAAATAGGAAATCAAGCATTGAATGAGGCACTTGGCCAACCTGGTAATGCAATAGTCAAATTAAGAGCTGTAGAG